CTCACACTGGCCGAAAAACCAGTTTAAACCCGGGCAATGGGAACAGCTCATTGAAACGTCATCGCCTCGGCTCTGATCGGCATGCTGTGGGAACACCAGAGCTGTGTTGACCCGCTAAATTATACCACAACGTACAAACGTCAACACACTATGCCAGTAGCTTCTGATCCAGCAAGCCGAAACAAATCTGCTTACATGGCGGAACACTGGTGAGAGGGATTCGGACAGATAAAAGAGCGAAACGATAAAGCATACTTACTTCAGCCTGGCTTCCTTACATGTTGCTTTCCAGTGTTTACTTTCCTGATTTCTGTCGCACTGGTGACATCATCAATGCTAACCCGGCTTGATGGTGTCATTAGCAACCCAGCTGTGGAGGGACAGAGCCCACATAAAGGGGGGGGTTAGACCCAGATTTTTTGCCAATGAGAAGGGAGCCAAATGCCGATTGGTGGCGCGTCGACCCATGTTTGAAATGGGTTATCCCAGTATTTTCATTGGGGAAGAGGCTTAAGGGGCCAAGCCTAGCTCTTGAAAAAAAAAACTACAGCATAATTGCCCCTCCACCAAACTTTATACAGTACTTGGCACAATGTAGTACCACAGGAACAGAAATCTGCCAGATTTCAAGATGGAGAAGCAGGATTCGTCAATCCAGAGAACGTTTTCTTTACTGCTCTGGTGTCCAGTAGTGACGTGCTTTACATCACTGCATCTGATGTTTTGCATTTCACTGCGCATGCAAGGCATGTACAGTATAGCTTGGATGCAGCTGCTGGATCATGGGAATTCATTCCATGAAGCTCTATGCTCACTGTTCTAAAGGCCACATGAAGTTTGTAGGTGTGTAGGATCGACTCAGCAAATGGTTGGCAACATCCTCACACTATGTGTTTCAGCTTCTGCTGACCTCGCTCCCACAGCTTAAATGGCTGAGTTGCTGTCTTCCCCAAACACTTCCATTTTCTTAAGATATAGCTGACAGTTAACTGTAGAATATTTAGGATCGAGGGAATTTCATGACTGGATTTGTTGCATCTACACTAATATTCATTGAAATCCTGGGAGTGACCCAATCTTTCAGTAATGTTTGTAGCAACAATCTGCATGTCTAGGAGCTTATTTTCTATACCTGTTGCCATTGAAGCGATTGGGACATCTGGTTCCAATAATCTAGATTGGTGAGCAAATACCATTGGCAGTGTAGATGTATATATACTTGGTGATACACATATATTCATGATGAATTTTTACCCTCTGCTGCTGAATGTACATGACAGCATCATGAACGGTAACAAAAATATGTTGAGGATTCATGTGTCTCATCAGGCCACTAGATGTCAGGATCTTTAAAACACTCTCTAAAAGGGAACAAGATGAAGACATTTAAAGCATTATGCTCTACGCTTCAATATAATAGTGAAAACACACTACTAGGAAAATTCTAACACTGAAAAACAATACCATTGCAATTTGCCAAATAAACGTGAATTCCAATTTTGTGGCACTCTGTGCACATCTGCAAGTAATCAAAAGAAAACAACAACACCTTAATCAGGGGCTGAACCATGTGACATAAGGTGCAACCTTAATGTTTTTGTTGCAGACTTACCTGTGTGAAGAGTCTCGCTCCAGCAACATCAACAAATATCACTCCGCTGCAGTCAATCAAAACAGCCTGGACATCTTTTTCTGATGTTTCTGCTGGGTGAAATGACATAACTTCTTGAAGTCTGCAGTTACAGAAAATCCAAACTAGCGGGTCTTTACAAAGAAACTATTCACCTGTTTCAAAGAACTCATTTACTGAGGAAAATGATGTGTTTGCAACTCCCCTCTCCTTAATATAGGAAGAAAATAAAAAGAGAGTTGAATATTATACAATGATAATGGTTGTTCTAATTAGTGGTAACTGACAAGTCATACCACAGTGCTGACAGAGGCCTCTCTCTCCCGCTTTTCTAAAGCTTTTCTGGCCTTTTCCCGACTGCGGATCTTTTCTGGCGTCAGACCCAAAACTCTGCTCATTTTCTCCCTGAAAAAGCTGCGATTCCCATAGTAAATTGGCCCATTGTACATCAGGATCTTCACTCCCGGTACTTCATAGCACTGTATGGGATGAAAACCCAGATCTCAAACCTTATTTTTCGGATAAACTGCCATATAATCTCTAAGATTTCGGAATGTCTTTCATTTAGCAGATACTGTCAGACAAATTCACTCAAATTTTAAGCAGACCATTTGGTTTCAACAATTGAAAAAAAATAACAAACTTCACTCACCTTGCTGTGATTCTCCAGAGGTCTGTATATTTCTGTATTGCTTGCCTGCCCAAGGACTGAGCATTCAGCCCTGTCAAAGGATGAACGGTTTGCTTAAATTGCATCTAGTAAAGGGCTGTGAATACCATTCAAACCCTTTAACATAACATGAGCATGTTTTCTTCCACCCAACTGTACTGTGGCTTTATGTATCTCCTTCTGAGCTGCCATGGGCCTCTTTGCTGCCTCTCTGACAAATACCCAATAAACCTGAGAGTCATGTTTTTGGACTGTGGGAGGAAGCCAGAGTACCCAGAGAGAACCCACACATGCACTGGGAGAACATGCAAATTCATTGCAAAAAGAAAGACCATGTTGCAAGGGAATAGTGCAGCAAACTGCATCATCGTGGAGCCCATTTAAAAGTCCACAATGAGATATTTGAAGCCTACTATATAATCTGCATTAAGATGCTCCACTGCTGTATTCTTAACCCGCCTGCTGTGACTCTTTCTCTTCATGACACGTTTGCCTGCTAATGCTCTTCAACAAACATCTGAGGCCTTCACAATTTGAAGAAAAACATGTTGCAAGCAACTTTATTTGATAATTTCAGGATAGAGAAAACACATGCATATCAGATTTCAGAAAGTTATTTACTTAAAATAATCATTATTACATCATAACACAAATCTCAGAAACAAATAAATTCAAAGGTTGCAGTTTTAGGGTGGCAGCAACAGCATTTAGTCTGAGTTACTTGAAATATTCTCTGTACTTACTAACAGGGAAAAAAGCACTACCTTTGTGTTCGACAGATCACAGTCATCATAGAGAAAACCACGCCGATAGCCAATCCAAGGTCCACATTCAACACCACCACAGACAGCCAGGTTACAACCCAAACCATCTACACAGGACGGAGAGATATCACAACAAAACGTAGTAAATCACATTGCAAATGTAAATGTAAGGTAAATAATAGCCTGATAATGCGAACAGACTCATACAAAAGGCTACATTTATAAAGCTGCAGGATTCTGAGAAACTTGACAATTGTGACATTGCAGTTCAAGATGCAGGAATCAAATCGCCAGGAGCATAACAATCTGCAGTACTGAACTAACTGTGTTCTATATTTTCCTTATTTTTCAACATAAAAATGTAATTTTTACAGAGTTCTTACAAAATCAAGCTTGCTGACTCTCCACAGCTCGGGTAAGTCTTGGAACTGCAAAAACATTTGCCTGAGGCTTGTAACATTGATGCATGCCAGCACTGCCTGTGGGCACAGATGACAAGGATAAGTGGAAACATCTTGTTCTTTTTTAATTCTTTATGTACAGACACTCATTAAAGCACACCTTGGGTAAAGAGTAGAACAGGGGTCCGATCAGCAGCAGGACAATCAAGACAACCAGACTGGTGAAGAAGCCTGAGAGCTTGAAGACCACAAACATATTTAGTTTTAATAATCTTAAAGAAATTGAAAGAAATTATGGAGTTTAAATTAAATAGGATTTATATTATTGAATATCCTCAAGAGGACCTTGATTTGCAAGCTAAATGCGAACATTTCGATTTATCTAAAAAGACAATTTTGGATCAAAGAGCATTAACCATTCCTTTTTAACCTGAGTCCTGTTACGGACACTCTTAATGTTGTCAGTAGTTCTGGAATGGCACATGGCATAGCGATAGAGCGGACATCAATTTGAAGCCAATAATCCCTGATGCAGTTGACCTCCCATGTCTTCTATATTAATTTCTTGTGTCATATATATATAGAAATAATAGGGGTTCACCCATAAAGCAAATGGTCAATTGATTTACCCGTGATACCTTCATTTTGGAAGATCAATGGTCACCCTCTACTGTGGTCACCAGTTTTATCATTCAAACTTATCTATGTTTATCTGCAAAGTTCTGAAAATCAGCTGCTGTCAATGTTCAAAACTTTTCATGTATATTTGAAAACATGACGTCCTGTACCAGACATGGGCAAAGTGGAGTCAACAAATCATCTCCATGTCATGTACTGGTTCTACCCAGCCACTGAAGCAGGTGAGTCCAATCTTCACCGTGAATTAACCTGTGCAGATTGGACAAACCTCGTTAATTGGCTGGGTAGATTAAATACATGACATGGAGATGACTTGTTGACTCCACATTGCCCATGTCTGTCCTGTACCTCATATACTTAAAATACGTTTGTGCGGTTCCATGGATATTATATTAAATGTTTTTCAATAAAAGACAGGAACATTGATGGGGTATTGTGATATTAGTGTATAAAAACTGATGGTGTCAGTGATTTAAAAAATTGTATCAAAGAAAAATGTAAATCTGCAGGTCTTGGCTTTTCAAAGGCCAGTGATAGGCCAGAAAGCCTCAGTCAGTGCAGCCATAAAGTGCACTTTTGTAAACAAATATATCTACAAAAAAAAAAAAAAAAAAACACAACTATAGTGTGTTGTTGCTACTAAAGCTTCAATGAATCTCCATCAGACTCGTAGAAAGCCATGGTTTCACAATCCTATCATAAATTTGGTGATTTTTAATCCTTAATATTAACTTATATTAAAGCAATATATATTACTGTGTGTAAAGAAAATGTATGACATTTACAACAGAAAAAATACAATGTTTGATTATCTTCTAAGTTTTTTAATTGGTTGTTTTAAGTGTAATTTCTGTTTTAAAATAGTTGCTAGCATCGATGGAATCCATATGATAGAGTCCAGATGTTTAAAGCAACCAGAGTTATAAGATCATGACTGTACATCATGCACCTGTGTGTGTCCTCCAGCGCTCTCCAGTATGTTGGTGGTAGCCAGAGTGGCTGAGCTGGGGAAACAAGTGAAGAAGGAGGACACAGTGTTGGAGATCCCATGAGCTAGCAGCTCCTGGAAAACAAGACAATGATCAAATACAAAATTCTCACAAAATACACAGGTTTAGGTGTGATGTGTTAGTAAGTTTTACCTGGTTGGGATGTATGGAATATCCATGTTTGTCAGCGTAAATCATTGCTAGTGAAACAGATACAGCATATCCAACAAATGTTATGGCAACTGTGTCTCCAGCAATGGCAGGGAAAGTGTGGAACGCAGGCAACTGTGGCTTTGGGAATCTACAGTAAATACAGAAAAGATGTTTGATTTTAAAACTGTACGGTTGCAGGTATTATGGGTGGTTTTTTTTTTTTTTTTTTTGAAGATTACCCTGCAGGGATATGGCCAACTATCTCAATGTTGTAACTGGAATCTAGCGATGAAAAATAGGTCACGCATGTAGCGATAATCACCTGGAGAGAAGACCAATAATTAAAACTTGCTCATCGTAGTTTAAAAATACATCTTATCTGTAGGACTGACCATGAGGATTTCTACAGGGATGGGTGTGCGCAGACGGTGCCGGTAACGCGTGTTGACCTCCTTAACTGGTACCAGTACAGCCAGACAGACCACAGAGATCAGCAGCTCAGCCATGTTTGTGTGGGACAGGTTCTCCATCACTAAGGCCAACGTCTGAGTGATACAGTTGAACTTTTTATTATTTGCATAATTTTTTTGGATATAATTTTTTTAAATATCTATAATATGTGAAAACAAGAGACACAGATTACCTTGAAGAGAGAGAAGGTCCCAGTGTGGCGAGGGAGTCTCAGGCCGAGCATGCTTTGGAGCTGTGAGACTGTGACATGGAAGGCAGCGGCACTGGTGAAAGCCTTCACTATCGGCTCTGACAGATAGGTGGAGAGGAAACCAAGCTGAAGTCCAAACATGCAGAGCTTGGATAAAGCAGGACACAATAGAAGTCAGGGAATCAAGTCTGATGCTGATAGATATAGCTGTGATTCTGAGCCACAAATTAAAATGCCATTTAAGTTTGTTTCTAACCATGATGATTCCTGATAGTAGTGCTATGGCTGAAGCTACTCCAATCCGCTGAGCCTCAAACTCTGCTGCTTCAGGTGAGCTTGAGTTGAAGGCAAGCGGAGTTGGAACCAGCTGCTCCACCACAGAACCGGTCATCAGACTAATAACAGCAAAGGTACCTGGAGACAAAGTCTGACTTATTACAATCTTTATCATGGACATAAGAAAAAACACAACTCAAAAACATGCAGTCATGAAAGCCTTCCATAACTCATTAAGATTTATTTTGTCATGCAAACACGGTTGTCTTTTATTACGATTTTTTGCGATGAACCAACTTGTAGTGTGAAAAAATACCAATGTATGCCAAATTGTAAAGACATTTATCATCATAAAACTTTAGAAAAGCATGCATACTTTTTCTTTCATTCAAAATTTAACAACTATTTTGTGTTGGTCTACTAGATAAAATCCTGATCATTACAGACAATGCGTAAACTGTGAAATGTAGATAAGGTTTTACCTGTTGATACATGGCGGCCAGTACCAAAAATCATATACAGGACTACTGGGAAGAAGGACGTGTAGAGGCCATAAATTGGAGCCACTGATGTTAGCAAAGCAAAGGCCATACCTGTATAGAAATAAACATGTTAATTTGGTTTCAAGAGTATTTAATCTGTGTTTTATTGAATTTACAAATTCACTTATTAAAAATTAAATAAATTAATCCAATTTTTAAAAGACTTTAAATAATGGAAAGTAGATAAAGAGTATATTTCAAGATCAAACCTCAAATTGACCTCAGATATTATAGCCCATATTCTTATCTTCAGCTACCACAGTATACATGTCAGATTAAATAATACTACTTATACTTCAGCGATAGTATCTAGGTGTTATTTTATTGTATATCTTGTACCATGTCTGTTGGTTGTGCTGTTCTTTTTACATCTCTTTGAGGGTGATAAAGCAGACTGAAGATGTTTTATCGTTATCTCCCTTTTATCTCCTTTTTCTTTCATCTTTTCTCCTTTTTTCTGTTTTTCCTTTCCTGTTCTAGTTACATTGCAGTGTCCATATAATTTGTAATACTCCCTGCATAATTATAATAAAGCAATTTATATGCATAAATCAAGCGGAACACTATGGCGACAGCTGTACTGCTCCACATGTGAAAGTAAAGTCTGTAGGGCTATTTTTGGCATCAACACATTTATTCTTATTGCCACATTGCCAGACAGGACACTGTTTAAAAAAAAAAAAAAGAAAGAAAGACTCAGATATTAAACTGTTATAATCCTGAATTACCATTAAGTTGCTGTAAGAAAAGGCCCCAAGGCAAATAAAAAAGAACATGACATTAACAAAGCAACAAAAAAAACATGTTTGAACCATACTAACACAGTTATAATCGCTGAAACATTCACAAAATCAACATTCACACAAAATAATCAGATTTTCATCTGTATGGAGCGAAATAAAACCATAAACAGCCTGTTATTCAGCCTCATAGTACATATGCAGTTGCTTTTCATAGTATTAGCCTATATCTGTAATAACAAGAGCCTTAATTAACAAACAGGCTTGGAGCAGTAGCAAACTTCTCCTTACTTTTTCATTTAATAAAATAGGTATTTTTTTTAATTTATAAATTGACAGTTTAGGAGAACAGGGTTTAATTAAGCGAAAGAAGTCTTTTCTGAACTGAGATTTATTTATTTATTTGGTATAACCATTACTTTGAAGTGATATTCAGACTTTTTTTTGTTTATAAATACCATTTCTAATATTAACAAATTGCAGTAGAGCGCACAGACCTTGGGGGATGTGAAGAATACCAACAGTCAGTCCAGCAATAGCGTCTCCTAAAATCCATTTCCTCAACCTGTAGCTCGGTAGCCAGCTGATAAGCGGGACTCTCTCCCCGAGCAAAGTCAGCCAGGCTCGCCTTGAACACCTGCACTTCCCGGCCAGTTTCTCCCGCAGCCTCAGACCAGCAGGCGCGTCTTCCTCGGAGCCATAGGCCTGCTTGAAGCGGTCCTCCGTGTAGATGTCTCTGTATACGGCCACAGAGGCGCTCATGTCGCGCTGATGCTTTTCCCTGCAGTTGTTGCGGCTGAAGTAGTCAAGGTGTGCTTTTTAAGTTGTAAATATAAGGGCAGAATGTTCTAACTTTAGAGGACATTGCATTTTCCTGCCAGACTCCTCTCAGCCAATGATATTGCTGAAAGCACTTTTTTTTTTTTTTTTTAAACTGCACTAACCAACTTTTTTTTTTTATCTCTTATCTGGGGCCCTGCCTCACATACGGAAGATGATTAGGGCCACTGAAAAAATTGAAAAAG